AGTAGGGTGCTTTTTCTGGTTTTTTATTGTTTACAGATAGAGTAGATGATTAAGCTCCATTTTCAAATTTCTCTCAAATGTTAATGGTGCTAATCTAATGTTTATATTCCTGTACATGCATGCTTCTCCAATACTTTATGTTTTGCATGGTTCTAATAATTTATTGTTTGTTATCCCTGTCAAACTTTTAGGTGGAGATTTAGAGATTTTATTCACTAATTTGCCATAGAGAGGGGTGGAAAGGTATTCTCTTCAGCACTTCACTTTCTGAATGAGACTATATAGTATTGGCATGACTTCGGAAATTTAATAATTTTTCATAAGAGTGTATTCTCATTGGCCTCATGCCTCCCTTCTGCAGTTCTGCTACTCCTGCTCGCCTCCGCATCTTCTCTCGACCCAGCCACCCAGGTAAGGTTTTTTGTTTTTTACAATTTTTATTTTAATTGAAGTATTTTATTTGTTATTTTAGTTTGTGTTAGTGACTTGGTGTGTCATTTAATTCATTGGTGTCGTTGTGTGCTTTAATTTGTAAAATTGAAAATTAATAATGACAAATGTGATTTTTGAAATTTCTTAAAAAATTAATCTGAATTATGGAATTAAAAGTTTGATTAGTTTTGTATTTTTTCCTAAGTTTAGTAGGTATGGGTATTCAATCTACTTCCAAAAAGGAAAAAACGACAAAACTTGAATGTCTCAATTGAAACTCCTAATATCTCATCCGCTCAAGAGGAAGTAGTTTCTGATGCACTTGTAATTGAGCGAGATCCGAAAAAACGGAAAAAGACAAGAGATGAAATTATATAGTGTTTTTAGTTTATAGTCGCCCCCTAAACATCCATCCTGGCTATGCCCCTGCATGTTTGTTAAGTTAGTCTTAATAAACTACTCCATGATTTAATCGATTTAGTGGCCTGGTTTGACTTATCCGGTTGTGTGTTTTGCTTTGCAGTTGGTTTTTTAAAGTTGAAGTGCATTTTAGGAAAGGTGAGGAACTCGTAAGTCGTACTAGCATTAGAAAGCCTGTAGCAATAAGTACAATAAATACTTTTAGAGTTTTAGCTTATAGCTAAAGAGCATAGCATGTCTTTATTTTCTTTCAGTAACATAGTTGCTAAACTGGATATTATCAGTGGCTGATTAACTTTATTCATTAAAATTTGTTTCACAATGAGTGTTAACTTTTTCCATATCAGTTAACAAGTCGGTTCTAGTTTAGAATAAGTGATGTCTTTATTTTAGTCTTAAATATTGAATTCTTAGTTTTGAATTTTTTAGTCTTAGTATCTATTATAACTGTTATGCTTAGATTAGCTATTGTTTTATGATTTGACAATTTGAGCTCAGATGAATGAATAAGTATTGTTGGATACAATTGCAGATGGTTTGAACTTTGAACGTGCTGCAGAGATTATTATTAAAGTACCTTCACTTCGGGCTGCAATATATACGAAGTACCTTCACTTCGGGCTGTAGATGGTTATGAAGACTCATTTTCTAAACGCGGTGATATAGAATCAAAGTGCATGGATGTAAACTTTATATACAATAACTGTGATAGATTAAGTTTTATTTCAAGATTTATTTTTCTTTTTTTGACGTTGAAAACGAAGATTAGATTTTAAATGTCAATGATTAACTATGTTTTTGTTGTGCAAAGTCTACTTGTGGGTGTTCTTATATTAATTTATTAGTAGTTGTATTATATTGTATTGTTATTGTGCTATGCATTATGATGATGTACAGATATTAAATAGTAATGAATATGAAAGCAAAAATTAGGTTCACTAAAGCATAATTACTTGTAGGCGTTGTAGCTACACATAAAAAAGATTTACCAACATTCAATGGGAATTTTTACCTACACATACTCTAATTTTTAGCTACACATGAACAATTCCACGTCATTACCCACGTTATTGAAATCTGCCACGTCAGCATCAATGCAATGCTCCACGTCATCGTACACGTCACACACAAATGGCCATGTCATATGCCACATCAGTGTCCATGTAATGCTCCACGTCAAAATCCTTGTCATCATGCTGGTATTTTCCCACACATAGTATTAGTTTTGCCCATACAAGAATGTGTAGGTAAATAACGCATAATTATCCACACATAATGCCATGTGTGGGTAATAAGTTTTACCTACGGTTTGATACCCACACATCGTTACACTTAGCATATGTGTAGGTAAATCGTATTCCCCACACATAGACGTATATTTACCAACACATATGTGTGTGGGTAAAACCTCTATTTTCTTGTAGTGACGGAGGTAGTATTAATTACACAAGATTCTAGTAACGTCTTGGCCATTATGCAATGATTGCTTCCCTTAGATCCATGCTTCTTCTGTTATTCATGTCCGCTGGCAGATAGCTATGCACGAATGATAGTCTCCCACATAAGTCCTAGGAAGAGTCCGAGCTTGCTAGAACTCCGCCCAGGCTCGAGGTCTGCTGTCCAGCCCGGCCTGGTTGTGGGTTCCTTTCGCGGGCGAGATCCCTAGTTAGGCTCGACGGCTAATTAATATTAATCTCGTTCATGAGCTAATCCTATTTAAAGGTTGATCCCGTTGAGGGCTAATCCCGTCAAGAGCTAATCCTGTTAAGGGCTAATCCCGTTTATGAGCTTTGACCACAATTCCATATATGGGTCATGGTTGTAGTCCATGGTACTATCAATATTTATTATTAATAAATAGTTGTTTTTCTTTCAACAAAAGATAATTATATATGAGACCATTTTTAGGTGATTAATTTAAAAAAAAGAATTATGCATATTCTTTTAAATAACAAGTAAAAGATATGTTAAAAAACATGATAAAGTTATTATAATTATATTATCAGTTTGCCATGGTGTAAAAATGAAGATTATTGATACCTCAAAAATGTTACTCCCTCCATTCTTTATCATCTGTCCCGCTAGTCTTGGGCACAAGTTTTAATAGAAAAATAGTAGGGTAAATGATAAAGTAGGAAATACAGTACATTAAAAAGAGTAAAGAGATACTCCCTCTCTCCCTTATAATTTTGACAATTTTCCTTTTTTGGTTGTCCCAAAAGTATTGTCACTTTACCTTTTAGTCAATCAATTTGTGCTTCTTGTTATTTCTCTTCCCTCTACACAAATCTCTACTATACAGTTTTTACTTTATTATTATACGCGTCGGTGAAACTTGACAATCCTTTTAGGGGCGGAGGGAGTAATAAAGTAAGAAAAATAGTACGTCCCTTAAAATTTTGCCAAAGTTGACCGGCACGGAGAATAATAAAGTAAAAACTATGTGGTTGAGGTTTGTGGAGAGGAGAGAGAAATAACAGAAAACACAAAATAATTGATTAAAAGGGAAAGTGGCAAAGTTTTTTGGGACGTCCCAAAAAGGAAAGATGACAAAGTTTTAAGGGACGGATGAAGTATATTAAGTAGAGTAAAGTTATGATAAAGTAGGAAAGAGAAAATAATTTGTAAAAAGTAAAAACGTAATTGTCTCATATAGGACTAATTGTAAACATTAGTGCACAAAGAGGACCAAACGTTTTTAATTCCCTATATAGGACTCCGGATTACCATTATACCCTCCTGTATAATAATATTAAAACCTAATTTTCTATCGCTCGATCTTTCCCTGCGCCTCTCATCTCCATTCGCGATCTGCAAGAGGTTGGGCCTCTCTGCCCTCTCCCCTGCATCTCTGCGTCGTTTCAATGGTTTTTCTTCACCGCCAATCAACTTCGCCGTCGCTGGTTGTCCATCGACGCCGCCGACTCGCTGGTTCTCCATCGCCATAATCGCCACCTCTTTATTCCAGGTCTTCTTCTTCTTCTTCTCTTCTTCTTCTTCTTCTTCTTCTTCTTCTTCTTCTTCTTCTTCTTCCCATCCTTCTCTGTTTTCCGTTTACAAAATCAAACTATTCACTGATTTTGTTGTTTTTTGGGTATAACTTTTCAATTTGTTGAGTTTTGCCATCAACTTTTCTGATTTTTGGGCATTTATTTTGTAGTTTAGATTTCTGATTTCAATAATTTTTTGATTTAATTAAAAACTCTGTTTTCCCCCAATTTCGGATATTGGGTTCGTATTTTTCCAAATTTATGGTAGTTTGACATAATATGTTATGGCAGAAAACTTGTATTTTGACATTCATTTGCGACTTGACAATATTGCCAACTATATGGCAGATTTGCATATGACATTATGACAGAAAAATATTATTTTTTTTGAAATGAATTGCCAAATCTATTAAGAGGAACTGCCATTATAATGTTCATTTTTTTTTATAAAAGATGGAAATATTATATTTTTATGTTGTCAATAAAAGATATATTTTTGCAGAAACATGGCATTTTAATGGGAAATTGGCGGTGGCAGCGTCGGAACTGACAGCGGCGATGGTGTCGGATGTGGCAAAGCCAAGAGTGGTGGCGCTGAGAACGGCAGCGGCATTTGGACTGCTGGACGCAGGATGGAACCTAGGGTTTAGAAAGCTTTTTCTATTTGTTATTTTTAATTGTAAATAGATCTAGAAATTCATCAAGGGTAATTTTGTAAAGTCAGCACATTTTTAGTCCTATAAAACATGGGAGTCCTATTTGTGCATTTCTTCATTGTTTTAGTCCTATTTAGGGAATTAACTCAAAGTAAAAGGGTTAAAGGTAATAAAAGTGAGGGTATTTTATAAAAAACCTGCCTAAAATAGAAAGAGAGACAAATAATTAAAAACTATGAAGTATTTTAAAGAGACAAGATAAAAACTCACATTTTATTCACTACATTTATCTCAATCTAGATTATTTCTTTCTTTTGCATAATTTTTGTTTAGGAACTAATAAAATAAAGAAATGGAAGAAATTTGGGAAGGGGTGGAGTATCTGTAGTCAGTACACAGCACTTGAATTCGAATGCGGCAGAAGCAGGTGTGTTGCGTAACTGTTCTTAATATACATTTATTTATTTAAGAAGTATTTATATACTACGTGTTTATTTATTTGCTGCGCTCCATTTCTCTCCCACTGCACCTCCCTTTTTGTTTGTTCCTGTACTCATACATTCGGTCACGCACTTCTCTTTCTCTAGAAAGTGTCGCCGGCCATGACTGAGGACGAGTGGATGAAAGCGGCGATGCACGACGACTCATTGGTGGTCGAGCTTCTCTTGGGGCTGAGCCACCGCTCTGTTGCCAAGCACATGCCGGCGGATTTGCCGCTGCACTGGAGCGTGCGTCAGCGTCGGTCCAAGCCGGTACTTTTCAGGTCGAAGAAGGTAGTGGCTGTGACGGATAGCCCGACCACGCCACTTTCCTGGAGCGGAGACACTTCCGGCAGCAGCGGAGCCGGAGTAGGAAGTGGCGGCGCCGTCGACGGCGTTCCTGAGAATTCCAGCTATCCTCCTCCTCCGCATCCTCCCCTTCCTTCTAATGCATCTGGAAAAGCGAGATCTAAGCAGGTATGTGTATTCTACTCGCAATCTCTGACTATCTGTCTATTTCGATCTCTAGCTATCTCCCACTGATATTCAGCTTGTCCGCGGCGGTGTTCGTTGACTGAATGAGGCTGGTGGGAGGTAGTTAAGGCGGCTCTTCCGCCGACGGGGAGGCTCTGTTCGTCATCCAACTCGCGTGTCATCCGATTTTGCATTATGACAAAAGTGCCCCTCCGAATCTCTTGTATTTCCAACGTGTCGTCCCTTGCAAGTTACCCACCCCCACCACTCGCCGCACCTCCTTCTGCTGTCAGTTACACCTTCCACGGCTCCACATTATGATAAACGCATCGTGACTCATAATTTCCGCCCCATTTTCCTTCCGACTGCTTCTTTTTTTAAGCACCCACTATCCTTTTTGTCAGAAAGTTTCGATAACTAGAAGATGCTTGAAAAAATTACTAATAATATCAACCATTTTACTTGGCCCATTTAGATCTTACCAAACAGGCACCTAGTATTACTAGCTAGTTACTAATATTAACAGCGGGTTTGATAAAATTTATATTGAATCAATGGAAATTCATACAAAATTACACACGGAGAAATTACTAGATTAGGATCACTTATATTGGATTTTGTCAATTTGTTTATTATCTCAAAAAAATTTGTCACTTTTTTATTTAAACAACTAATTTCTTTTCTTGTCATGCATATTACTCTTTCCTCTTTATAAAAATAAGGTCCATTCAAATGATACTTTCCCATAAGAGACATTGGTCTGAACACAAATCTACCGAAGGGCCACAAAAATATATTCTATCTTATCTTACACTAATAGATATACATTTCCGTTTACCAAAAAAATATACGTAGTACATTTCAATTTCTACAGAAAATACTTTTTTGTTCGATGAATTTCTTTGCCAAGTTCACGTCTGCATTCGAATCACCCTTACTGTTGGCAACTATTCCTGATTTCCGGGCAGTTTAAAGAGTTTACTCGGATTATAAATTTTCACTTTTATTTCATTGATTGAAAATATTTGATTGTGGCCCATGGATATTATTAAGTATTTTCAAACCAAAAAAACAAAAATTGACCCCATACAAGCAAAACAAAAATAAAATGTGTGAACCTCGACCAAGAGTTTGGGTGACAGGGTTGTCATATTTTAGAGACGGTCTGGTAACACGAAAATCGGCTGATTCAGTTAATTCTACTGAAATTTATGAAATTGCGATTGCAGTGATTGATTCTGTTGATTTAAGGAAAAATTATTTTTATAATATATTTTATTAATAAAAATAAAGAAAAAATTATATAGGTAAAATAGCTAAAATGGTAATCTGAAATCGATTTAGCCAATACAACCAGAAAAGTAATTACCCGCACAATATAGGTAGGGTTTACCCAGCACTCTCTCTCATTTCTGCCGTCCTAGAAGTCGATCCTCCGAGGCTCCGATCCTCCAATTCCCCTCAAACCGCCCCATTGTGACAAATTACATCGAAGTGGATATATTGGATTGGTTTTGGAATGGGTAGGAAGAAACATTATCAATGAAAAAGCATACTCGGTACTATATTCCGGTTCAGGTTATTTTAGTTTGAAAGAAATACTAGTAACTCAAATTGAGTTGGATATGATTCGGTTTCACTTCAGTTTTTTTTTTTTTTGTTTAGTAAGATTCCATTCGATCAAACCGAACCAATTAGCCCGCCCTTAAAGTTAGAAGTCAAAATTTCAATGTAACCCTTTGTCTCCTCCTAATTGTTTACCACTTCAACAAATGGTCTTATGAATATGGACCCGATCCAAAAGGTGTAAATCAGTGTATACCATTAGTATACTGGAGTATTAAACACTTAATTAATCATGTTATACAGAATATTTATTTATTACATATGTATGGGATGAGATGATTAGACAGCATACTTGTTACCAGCCAAAATGAAGGGTTGTTCCAAGAAGTGACGAAGAAATATGCGCTCCCCCCGTCTTTGTCGGGTGGGTACTCCTTTCAACAAACCATTGTTTAAGTTAAAGGCTTTAGTCAACCCTGTTTGTCAAATTGTCATTCTCCGCGCGTCTAATAGGGGGGGCATTTCGGTCAAAACGCAGTTCGGTGGTATGTATGTGTTCCACATCATATAAACGGTGGCGTATGGATGTGCCTTTCCAATGGTGCTTCAGTTCTAACTGCAGGCGGTGAGTAGTGGTTAAGCGCTTTAGTGATTGAATAAATGAGGTGGGGATTGGGAGTTATATACATCAGCTGAGTTGGCTTACTGTGAACCCTCACAATTCAATCTCCACTACCACTTGTCTTTTACCAGAGGGAAAATATAAGTAAACGTTGCCATATGAAGTTGCTACACACCGGTGCTTTATTTGACCCTAAATTTGTGCCTAATTTTACTGGGTGTGAACTTCATGTGAATATTGCCTGTTGAAATCTAATTACGGAAGAGAAAAATCTTTAATAAAATACGGAACATTATAATAGAGTAATTAATATTCATTAATTAGGTTTCCATATTTCTTATGTTTCCTAATGTACTCAGAACTCTATTCATTATATATTTGACATCTAGGACTCCCAATTGGGTAAGTCATTCCATTATTCTCACATGGTATCAAGAGCTCTAGGTTTTAGCCAAAATTATTTTTTTTTTCTTTTCGGTTCCATGGCATCCAAAGGCTCCACCGCAGCCGCCGCATCCCAGGCAGTCACCGCTGCCATTGATTCGCCGCCGGCCATAACTGCACCTGTGTTGAGCGCGACAGACACATCGAATTTCTCTGGCCATTCGCAGACGGCGGCTCTCTCCTCCACAGGTGAACCGCTTCGCTCGCAGCCCTACTCGGTCTTTCCCTCTACGGTTCCGGCAACGCCGTGGGTCCCCCCCGTTTTCACCTGGACTCCGTCAGCGCCAACCTTCAATCCGATAATCCAGCCACAACGCTCGCAGCAACCGGACGTCTCCAGCAGCTCTGGCGGCCCTCAGTTCGCAGGACCCACCCTGGCGGGCAGTCCGGGGTTGCACCTGCCTTTGGCCGGAATTCTTGGGCAACAGTCCACTCCTATGCCCTTGTCTTTTGCCTCGCTCGCTCAAGGCATGACGTTTGGGGCCTCGATTACACAAATTGTTACTTCTAAATTGGTGGCTGTTGAAGATTATTTGCCATGGTGCACTCAGTTTGAATCCTTCGTGGTAGATAATGGTCTTTTAGGCTTCCTTGATGGATCTCTATCTGCCCCGCCAATGTATACGTATGATTTATATCAGGCTCAGTCCCCGAATCCTGAGTATTATCATTGGCTCAAGTTAGATCAAGCGGTACGTGCATGGATCTTTGCAACTCTCTCTCGTGATATCTTGATGGAGGTACATTCCTTGAAAAATTCCTTGGCCATCTGGCAACGTTTGGAGTCCCGATTTATGGCAGCCAGTCTTGCACGCTCCATGGAATTAAAACAAATGCTTACACGCACTCGGAAGAAGGACAATCAGACCATGGAGGACTACATTCGTGGGATTCAAAATATTGCTGAGAATTTAGCCGCAATTAACTCTCTGGTCTCTAATGCCGATCTTATTGAACAAACCCTTATAGGATTGGGACCGGGTTATGAGTCACTAGTGGGCCCCCTTACATTATTTCCAGAAGGCCTCACGTTTGACTCCTTAAGCACAAAGCTGGTTCATCAAGATGCACATCTTCGCTATCAACGATCCTTGGAGAATTCAGTTACTGCACCTGCGTTTGCTGCGTCCAATTCCGCAGGAGGAGGTGCGGCTTCCTCTTCTTTTACTGGCAACCCGCAGCAGAACCAAGGACGCGGAGGGCGTGGCGGACGCCGTGGCGGTCGCGGACGAGGGCGCGGCAGAGGTCGAAATCAGCAGGCCTATACGTATGGACAGCCTCCTACGTACGGCAATCCAGGCCAGCCGCAACTCCGGCAGCCACAGTCCGGTCGGGGAACCAATCAGCTTCATCAGTGGGGACCGGGTACAGTTATTTGTAATTCAGTTCGGTCATCGTTTTATACTCCGGCTCTCTATACTTCTTCTACTAACTATGCCTCTGCAGGATCTCCATCTTTTGAGAATACTTTTGGTTCAGTCCCTCCACCTGTTGTGTGTCAGATATGTCATTCTCTAGGTCATTCAGCTGTTGCATGTCCCTCTCGTTTTGTTCAGGCTCAGGCCCCTGCCTTGGCTGTCTCTACAGGTGAATCCACTCCAGCTGTCTGGTATCCTGACTCGGGTGCTTCTGCTCACATGACCTCAAATGAAGGTATTTTGCAAAATAAATCTATTTATTCTGGACCACTAAAAATTACAGTTGCTAATGGCTCTAGTCTTCCTGTTATGACTGTTGGTGAATTGCATTTATCTACTCTGCCTCGGCCCCTACACTTAAAATCTGTTTATCATGTGCCTAATCTTAAATACAATCTTCTGTCTATTCAACGATTATGTGCCGATAATAACTGTTTTGTAATTTTTGATAAAAATTCTATCTGTATTAAGGACACAATTTCGGGGAAGGTGCTCCTCCAAGCTTCCAGTAATGGTGGCGTTTACCCTATTTCTCTCACTCATTCCTCGCCAGTGGCTCTAGTCTCTCATGTTGCTTCTGGTCCAGTCTGGCATCGTCGTTTGGGACACTGTGGAAGTCGTATTTTAGAACAATTAAAAAAATCTGGCACTATTTCTAGTATTTCTAGTTTTTCTCATGATTGTATTTCTTGTCGGTTAGGAAAGTCTCAACGATTACCTTTTCAAGAAGTGTGGCATAAATCTCCCGCTCCTTTCTTTTTAATTCATTCTGATGTTTGGCAATCTCCTGTTCTCTCTACAAGTGGCTATAAATATTATGTCTTATTTATTGATGATTTTTCACGATTTACTTGGCTCTATCCCATGCGTCATAAAAGTGAAGTCATAACACATTTTCGGCACTTTAAGTTAATGGTGGAAAATTTACTTGACTCAAAAATTAAAATTTTTCA